GTGTGTGTGTGTGCGTGCGTGTGTGTGCGTGACGGGATGCCCACGTGTATGTGGCTCTTTGCAGTCACACAGTAAAAAAAATGGCTCTTAGTCTCTGACTGGTTGGCCACCCCTGGTTTAGAGGGTTAATGTGTGTGGGATCACGCTTTTGACGGAGAGCTTGTGCAATCTTACAAGAGTAAAATCACTTAGCAGTTAAAATGCACACACAATTATACACACCCACGCACACAAACTGTTTCAGTTTATAGTTTGTCCAAAAAGTCGGCGTTGAACTAGTTATCTGTAAATGATTCGACCTGTTGTCACTCTTGCCCCAGTAACAACACGCAATCCACACACAGACGACAAACGCACGCACTTTCCCCTTCTCGTGTGCATGTGCACAAGTGACATCTTGCAGCAATAAACACTCAAACAAAAAAAATGTAAATTTGTCACATGCATCTGTTTCTTGTTTCTCTGTGGAAATTAAATTGTTTTGTGTTGTTTGGATAGCACACATTTCCCACAGTTTGATGTCCAAAAGAACAACATGCAATCGATAAAACTAAGTCCTAAAATATTCAAGATGACGGCACATTAACCCAGAGGCCTCAAATATGGGCACATTTTGTCATGACATAATAGATGAAAAGTCTTTTAGGCACGCCACTAAATTTGTTGTTTTACCGAACAATTCTATGATTAAATAAAATAGCGGCGTCAAACTGCAGTCCTGAGAACTATGTAGTACCGGTAATCAATTGTGGAAATATTCTGTGGCCTTGAACTGATTTTCACCATTTCAGTTTTTGTTGTGGTTGTGATGACACACTTGAGCCTCCTTGGTTTGCATCAGAAGTATCCCCACGTGAATACGACTTGCGGTTCATTAGTTAGCGATGCCTTCATCCTGACAATGCATCTTCCCTTCAGATAATCCGCTGGCATCGCCATTTTGGGGCGCTTCGTTGTCTGGGTGTCAGTGCGCAGACATCACAAAGAGGAGGAAGAGTGATAAAGAAAAGTCAGTGATAGCTAGCGTGTCGCTACAGAATTCATGCTTACGTTGCTGCTTTACTGGAGAATTATTTTATATACTGTACTGGGCAATTTTTTTAATCATTCAAATGTTGCCGGATTAACAATACTCGTCAGCGCGCGAAGAAGATGATTTCATCTATTCAGTAACAGTTTGAATGAATCAGTTTGAAAATGTTGTTTTTTAGGAAAAGTGCAACTTCAAAGTGTGAATGAAGGATGCGGCCAAATGCAACAGTCACAGTTTGAAGATTGCGGATCACTGTTCGGTAAAAACAAGAGCATGTGGCAGTTACACTTCTTGTGCCTTTGCAAATATGTTCTGTGTGGGGACCTGAACATAGCCCCATCATATGGCTGGACATAAGTGCTGCTGCCCATCTATATATTGTTTTATTATGTCAGAATGACAGCTTTGAGCTCATTAACAACACAACTAGTGGTGACTTTTAGAGGCTTTGCCACGGTGCTACTGTCAAACCTTAATCCTGCCATCAAGGCCCTCGACAATTATCAAACGCCGCATGGCTATTTAGTTCCATTTGTAAGTAATATTCCAGTTACAATCCACAAATGCCCCAACTGCAGGATTTATTCTTGGCTAACGGTGGTTTTCCCAGCCCGAATCTTGTGACCTAAAACATGTCCGGCTTCAAAGCTGAACATCTTATCTAACCTTAACAACCTCACCGCAAAGCCAAGGGGGGCAGGTTGGTTCTCAGACTGAATTCATTTGCAGCTCGCTGCCACGTCACAACCAAGAACAAGGCCACTAAGCAAATGTCACATGACATCTTTCAAAATAAAGAGCTTGCATAACTTGCTGAGGGTTCTGGCTGCAGCGGCTGTTTACAATGATCTGGCTGGGAGATGGACAACTTGGACGCATGCTCGTCAGAAAACACGTCTGCTACTCTCCTGATGCGCATCAGCCGAGTACATCGTGGCTGTTGTTCTGTTTAGTTATCACAAACCAAAGCCAAAACATTACCTCGGTCACATGCACATGAAAAGTTTAGCTTTGAGTTCACATTTGGGAGGCAAACAAAAACTCGGTCTTTGCATCACGCTCCGATTTTATGCACAGCGATCTGAAATGATCGCAGACGTAATTTAGCCTTGCGTGGGTGAATCATGACCAGTGCAGATTTATATGTGCAACACAAACACACAGCACATGAAATGTATCTAAAGAGCCTCGAAACCAAGTATGTATTATTGCAAAGGTCCTTTACTTCTCAAAGTATAAAACTTTAGTACAAACATCCTTTTGGATTGGAGCCCAGACCATCTGGTCTCAAACAACTGCAGCAACAGATTATATTTGTTAACAAATGCTGAAATGACAAAGAAAACAATCGTTCTGTATTTGGAGTACATGTGTACACCTCTCTAGACAGCCTGCTTCTGTCTTAATGAGCTTAAAGGGAGAGAAAAAAAAACAGTGACAAGATTGTGTTTTATACCTCAAATGGATCACAAATTTGGTGTTTCGACTGACATCTTGACAGTACTAATGGAAGCCGTCAAATGTCACGCTTTGTGCGCGCCACGGTTCAAATAAGTTGAGAGGAGCATGAACAGAATCAGTTTAATGCCAAATATCATCAAGTATAAGCAAATGAGCACAGAATCCAGATGAACGATGACATTTGTTTCTCTCGTCTTTTAAATCATCAGCATAAGCAGAGGAAAACTGGAAAAAGCTGACAAGGAAAACCGTCGACCGACAAGAGGGTCTGTGACCTTTGGCCTACTTCCATGTGCCGTCACTCTGCGAGGCTGCGCATAAACTGCAAGACAGGCCTCTTTGTGCGCACTTTCCCCGCCGACAAACAATGTATCGCTATCAGGATGGACACAGAGGGGCCATTCATTGGCAACTGGAACATCTGAATGACCAAACAATTCCAGTGATACAATCACAGCTTGATACTAAAATCGAAACTTGGTTTTGTCAATCTTGGTTTCCTTCTTATGACCAAACTTGTTGGCTTGTGTCAAAGAAAACGTTTAATAGACACTTTTTTCGGGGGGTGGGGGGGTAATCGCTGATAAAAAACCTTTCCGACTGAGGAAGATATTGGAATTTGGATAAACAGTGATAAACAAACCTTTTTATTCTATCGTAATATATTATCTTAATTTGTGCAGATGGACACATGAACAATATTGCGCGGTCGTCATGCTTTGCCTTCTTCTCACACGTGTTTTCAATCATATGCACTTATATAAATCTTTCCATACTCCAAACTTGCTCACGCCCTTATCCTTTCTGATGCTGACACACGAAACACAAAGACCCGTTTTTACAACTGGACCTTGGAGAAAAGATACACTTGTTGACTTTTGACCTGACTTTGGGAACAACAATGCACAAAAGAGGGTGTGGACGGCGCATACTTTATGTTTCGGTGTGTTTTGGATGACAACATGGAACTGAATGGGCTGCAAAAGAAGTTCCAGGGCTAGTGGTCATCACTGTTGGACACTTTGGAAGATGGCGCACACTCTACCAACAAGAGTATTAGCACATACTCTCTACATGGGATTTGGAAGACACTTTAGGTCCTTTTGAGTTTTAATTCAACAATAATGACAAGTAGATTTCACACAGATCGGATTGTCTGAGTCGGCCTTTTTATCATGTATAGAATGTTCACCAGAGTTTGGGGGAATTTTTCAGTTGAAATATTATTTTTTCCCAATGCTTTTCAATAGACATCAGTTATATGTGAATTGTGGGCCCCCCACAAATAACATAATTGTATAAATACTTTTAATAGTTTGATCCATCTTATCATCAGTTTTTTTTTTTTTTTTATAACTTGCCTATCTGAGATCAGCGATCAGCTCCAAAATCCTGATCATGTAAAGTCTAATGGCAACAGATTTTGAACAATTGTATGCTTCTACGTTAAAGGGAAGACCCTTTTCTGTTGCAATTGCACAATCGAACCCAATCAAACACTGTTGGGATGAACTAGAGAAGAGCTTGTGAGTCACCGGGGGCTTCTCTCGGGTCCAGCATCGCTGATCTCACAGCTGGATGAATGGACAAAAAAAAAAAAAAAAAAATCCCAGAGACACATTGCAACATCTTGTAAAAGGCTCTCAGAAGCGTGCAAGCTGTTATTGTTGCTAAGAGGGACTAACTCCCTATTTTCTTCCGTGTTCACGTCCTGCCTGCGTAATGTCCGCATACTTTTGTTCATACAGTGTGCCACAACCCAACAGATAAAGAAAGCCCTCAACAATCTGCACCTGGAAGCGATGATCTCATGATAATCAAAAAGTCTAAAAAAGGAAATGGATGACAGTCGTGGTCAAGCGCGTGCCAGCAAGCAGAGGATTTACGGTTATCTTCACTAGAAGTCATAGCGTTAAGATCCTCGATGCCGATGCAACCGAACAACTCACTTCCTGTTACGGGATAAGACTTTGATACTAATCTCTTGGCCGGGTATTGTCTTGACCTTCTTCAGATAGCATAAGTAGCGCTATGAGCACTTTAAGCATTTTAATCTTGGGCTTTTTACCAACTGACCTGGTCAACCATCTTTGGGTTGTCTACTACGGAGAAAAAGAACAGCGGTAGGAAGTGTGGGTCTTTCTTTGGTCTGGTCCATTTTGCTGTTTACATGCTGCGACTTCCATAATGTCCATTTGGTGGACTCGCCGTCAGACGTTCAGTTTCAGTTTGGCTAATCAAATAAGTGGACTGAGCTCTAACCCCACGTAAATGCGATGTTCAATTCAGGTGCTAAAAGAAGGTCTTAAAGAGATGTGATCTCTTCACATTCAAATAGAGGGAAATAATTCTCAACAATGTTTCACTTCTTGCCGAAATCAGCCTCCTCCACCGTCCGTTTGCTGCCCCAGCAGGTCACGATAGACATCCCAACAAAGGGTCACGCTGCAGTCGGATCACCCATTGACTGGACTAGCTCAAGGACACACGTCTTCTTGTTTTTTTCAGTGCACGCCGAAAGAGACTGGAGTTCGGTCGTGAATGTCCCACGTGATAACACAAATGTAACTTTGGTTTCCATCAACACTCCTTAAAAAGGTTTGACTCAGGCTCCGAGTTCAGGTTTGTCTCGAAAGTGTTGTCAGGATAGCAATCTGGAGTGCTTTACGCCACACAGCAGTACCTTTTCCACCACGACTTGGACAAACTTTTCATCTTATCGGGCGTCTGCATTTGCTTGGTTCGCCGTTTCGGTTTCCCTCTGGAGTGCTTCTGGGAGCTTTGGTTCTGCAGGCTGGCCAGAATGGCCGTGTCAAAAACTTCTTTCAAGTTCTTCTGGGTCAGCGATGAGCACTCCACGTAAGCCACAGCACCGATCTCAGCCGCACATTCTCTAGCATCGGCTGGGTCCACCGGCCTCTCTCGGTACTTAGCCAAGTCGATCAAAATCTGTGGAGAAAAACATGGTCAGAACATTCTGTATCTATTCAGAGCATTTATTCATCATTAGGAAGGGAGCTTGCTTTCTTTCTATGACTTGATCACGTCGATCTACGACAAACTTTAACCTTTTAGAGACCATAGAGACATTTTCTACAATTCACTTTTTTAATTTTCAACCGATTTGGGGTGCATTGAATGAGAAAAGGTTCAATTTGCCAAAGGAGAGTGATTTTTATTTTGAGTTTGTCCTGTCCGCTCCTTAAATTACCCTAAATGATCACACTGAAACATACTTTGGATCCCACCTTAATGTTAGTTTAAAATCATGCTGTCCATTTTATATATGGCTTGTCTTCATATGATACCGCATATTCGTGCTGATTTTGGGTGGGAGGCAGGGTACACACTGGACTGATTACTAATCTATTGCATGGCACAACAATAATTTACATTTATAGATAATTTCCATCCATCCATTTTCTGATCAGCTTTATCCTCACAAGGGTCGCCGGCGTGCTGGAGCCTTTCCCAGCTGTCTTTGGGCAGTAGGCGGGGTACACCCTGTGAACTGTTTGCCGACCAATCGCAGGGCACACATAGACAAAAAAAAAAAAAAACATTCATACTCACAATCACACCTGGGGACAATTTAGAATAAATATATCTGATACTGTTTACTGTAATGCAGATAAATCTATTGCTCGCGTTTGTTAAAACATACACACAACGAGGACCATTGTATCTTAAAGTGAAATATTGAGGAGAAAAAAAAAAAACAACAACAGATGAACAGAATGGCCCAACCTTGACATCTTCTCGGAGGTCACACTGAGTCCCAACGAGAACCAGCGGCGCGAAGGGGGCGTGCCTCCTTATCTCGGCGATCCACTTCTCAGGCACGTTCTGGAAGGAGACGGGGCTGACCACGCTGAAGCACAGCAGGAAAACGTCCGCGCTGGTGTAACAGAGCGGGCGCAGCCTGTCAAACTCATCCTGCAGAGGAGGGGACACCCACACGGCATCACTCAGAGGCGAGGAGGTACAGTAAGTAGTATTTTTTTGGGGGGGGGTCACACATGAGTGCAATAGTACTTTTGGGGGGAGGGGGATTGACAAGGAGAGGAAGACGCAAGAACAGATGGAGGAGGGGGAACAAGGTGACGATGATGCACTTCCTCTGGCCTTTGAAAAAGAAGCGTGGTCTATTGATTTTCAAAGATCAAATATTATTGCATCAGCATAATATAAAATTGTAGTTTCTCTCCTCTTTTTGTCCGTCCAAGGGTCACAGTGGATCCCATCGAAAGGGACGATAATGAAAATTAGCGCAGCTCCACTTTGAGCAAATCGCGATGAATACTTGGCATGCTACGATGACATTCGATACTTGATGTCAGGCAAACAGCTGCAAACGCCAAGCCAGAGAATTATTTCCTTGCAAAAGGACGCATCAGCTGGTGCACTGAGTCAAGTCCAACCCTCAAAAACTTGACCTTTCACGACATGTCAAAACTTTTAATGCATTTTTTTTGTATTAGTATTTTGTAATCTGTTCACACAAAATTAGACGAAGACAGGAAAATAGATGACTACGAGTTTAGAATGGCTTTGGAACAAAGGAAACACAGATTGGGCTTTTCCTTTCACTGTCAGGGCATTGTCTTGATTACAAATAAAGTTACAGGAAGTGTGTGACCGTGCGTGCATGCGTGTGCGTGTGTGAGAGATCCATTACCTGCCCAGCTGTGTCACAAAGTTGAAGTTTGACTGGTTGCCCATCCACTGAAACCACCGCTACACACACAAGGAACACAATTTTACACAGCATGAAATACCTATTTTAAAATATCATAAATTCAGCTTGTTGAGGCTTTTTTAAACAATTAAGACTAAAATAATAATTGCTTTGAATCAAAGAAAAATGTACTGTATTATGCGAACACATTTCTTTGAGATGTTTGGGGGCCGTGGGGGGTCACTGGCATCGTCTGTGTTTGCCTAATGGTAAGTCCGCCTATGTGAAGCAGAGTTTCTGCCTCACCTTGCACAATATTTGCCATTTTATGCGCTCAGCAAAACTAAATATATATTGCACCAATATTGAATGTGTGCCTAACTATGGGAAAGAGTGCATAACAAAATGGTCAGAAAACATTATATTAGAGACGTGAAGAGACACCCGAACAGGGAATTGACAAGTACAAACCTCAACCCAGTGAGTGAAAGGTTGCGCAATCTCAGGTGAGGTTCGGCTGCTCACTGCCACACTTCATGACTCGCCCAAGTACAGTATTTCAGCAAGAAAAACGCAAATTCGCCATTTTTTCGATGAAATCACGCAAATTAATAGATTATAAAATCAATAAAAAGATGATACCAGAGAGCTATGCCTTTAAAATCATAAACTTTAAGTACACATAGGAATACAGCTATTGAATGGCATCGATTGGGAATTTGGGGCATTTTAGACACTTGTTAAGCCAGTGAAAAGTATCAGCCGACAACCTCAAACCAATTTTACACCAGTGTAATTTTGTTGATGTATCTCAGCAATGAATTATGTTTCCTCACACATAATCTACCAACTAAACCGACCACCTCGTGTACTATAAAGCACGCTTTAAACAAGGAAAGGAAAAACACGTGGAAATTAACTGAAAAGTTAAAATGGTTTATAGAATGTTTTTGTGTAAAATCAATATACGAAAATATATTCCCGTGAAAACGGAAACATTCCATGACTGCAAAACGTTCAGACTTTACACACACTTGACAACACGTCTTCTTTTTCGTGTATATTGTGTGGAGAAGGTATCAGTCGGTTAAGAGCCATCATCTTACCGGAGAAGTTGTCGAAGGCAGTGGGGACATACTCGGTGGGGTATCCATTGGTAGTGTAGCTGACCACCAGGCTGGTTTTACCCACAGCTCCGTCGCCCACCAGGACACACTTCACCCGCCTCTCCGCTCCTCCGGCCCGCCGCGTCTTGCCCAAGCCCCCGTCCCGGCCACGGAGTCTCCTCGGTGGGACGGGCGGAGCTGGAGACACGGGTGCTGTCTTCGGAAGCATCGGGGAGGAGGGGGACATGAAGCCGCCCTACGAAGAAGTGCCGGGGTGGCGGCGGCTTTTCGCTTCGCCCATTTTTCTGCTATCTTCCGGGCGATGACGCTTTTTGACTACTCTTAACTTTCCATGACTGGGCGATCGCGACTTTAACTATTCCTGGTCACGAAATGACATCGCGTCCATTTTAAGCTACATTGTGCATCGTGGCTTTTTCAAAAGTCAACGTCCATTTCAAAGTAAAGAGATTCAACGAATGGTGCTCCGGTCCACAGCCCCAAACTCCGCTTCAAATGACATCACTACAGTGTATGTGTGCGCGTGTGTTCTCGTATGTGTGTGTGTGTGTGTGTGTGTGTGTGTGTGAGAGAGAGAGAGAGAGAGAGAGAGAGAGAGAGAGAGAGAGAGAGAGAGAGAGAGAGAGAGAGAGAGAGAGAGAGAGAGAGAGAGAGAGAGAGAGAGAGAGAGAGAGAGAGAGAGAGAGAGAGAGAGAGAGAGAGAGAGAGAGAGAGAGAGAGAGAGAGCGAGAGAGAGAGAAAGAAAGAGAGACTTTAATTAGGAAACATTTAACTTCTGTCTGCTTACTTGTATTCAAGATTTAATATTTTTGCTTTGTTTGTAATTTAGAAGACAACGCGATGACACGCACTATTTTATTGGATACTCTGACAAGTTGACATTATAATCGATTAAAGGGGAAGTCAAGTCCAGTTCTCAGGTGAGACCCTCACGTCTCTCTTGTTTTCTGGGTTTGTAAACTGGGTTAATCTTAAATGAAATAATCTGATGATACTTTACAAAGATCAAATGTGCAGGTACATTTAGCATTCGTGGTCGTAGGCGTTAAATATGAGTTAAATAGTGACGTGACTGATGATCTCTGTTCATAAGATTTTAGATAGAAGTCATACATGTCTCAACAAATCAGTCACTGCCACATTCTGCAAAAAAAAAAACATGATGGGATTCCGAATTTCAGAATTTTTTTACGGTTACCAACTGTATATATAGGTACCCGTCGCCGGTGCCCCGCACCCGAAAAAAACAACACAATAAACTACTCATTTCTCCCTTACCTCTAGCTTTTGGCCTATTAAATGCTTAGAAATATTTTGAGTCATGCTGCATTCGATAACTCTGGGAAGTCGGATTTTCAAGATGCACCTGGCTGCAGACCTCCACCGTTTTACATGAAAAAAAGAAACGATAGATGTGGTTGATTCAATGATTATGAAGTGACGTGCAAATGCTTCGGTTGTCCGATTAAATAAAATTATAAGTTCTCAATATCGCGTGCAAGATACGGTAGCCAAATAAATGTGTGCTTCACGACAAAATGAAAGTGCAAGCCATTAATAAATATAACACAAAAGTAATACACAAATTAAAATGAGATACAAGTATGTGTTTTAATTAATGCATTAGCACGAAAACAATTTCCACAAAAAGTGCCTCGCGGTTTTATTTTGCAACGTACCCGGTATATTATATGGGTATTTTCAGAGCACAACTAATAAATAGATTTATAGTTACAGTATGCATAACCATAGAGAGTCCAAAGAGAGAGCACTGATATCGGATCTTTAAGAATGCTAGCTAGTATTTCTACACGGACATACTTCCGTGTTGGGCCACACATGTGTTGATTCGCGCCGTAGTTCCGGTCTAGTGCACTGTCCAGTTTTTTATCCCAGCAATTAGACGTCATGTCTTCATTGGAGGTCGTTTTGGGTTTCCTGGACGACGCGGAGTCTTGGAGGCTTCGTTCGCCGCAATTCCCCAGTAAGGTCGGCGGCAAACCGGCGTGGCTTTGCCAGCGAGACCTGCCGTCGCTGGACAGACTGGAGTGCGAGACATGCCGCCTGCCTATGGCCTTTCTGCTCCAGGTTAGTGACCCAGAGTCAGGAGTGAACCAAGTTTTAATTCAAATTTCTCGTGTGATTGTACTGTTGTGTACCCGAAACCGCGGATCAACCTTCGTTAATGTTTTCCTCAGGTGTACGCCCCAATCTCCGGTCAGGACAGAAGTTTCCACAGAACCCTCTTTGTGTTTTGTTGTAAAACTCCACAGTGCTACACACACAACGACAGCCGCAGTATGAAAGGTATGTGGACCCGTGAAAGATACCACGTTTTTGATTGCCTCACATAGTAATGGCAATTTTCTCTTCACTTGTAGTTTTCAGAAGTCAGCTGCCTCGGAGGAATGAGTTTTATTCCTACGACCCCCCACCAGGTTGGTCGATTGAAATAGGAACGTTACTGACTTCGGAATATATATGTACTGAATCTGTATTATGAATGGCCTTCTTGTCGAAAATATGTGAAATTGCCATTGGAAACACATTTTATTTCTTTCCTCATATTGCGTTCAGGGGGAATTCCTCAGCTGGAGGTTGTGGCAAGTGTTTATTTGTAAAAGCATGTTTGAGCTGAATTATACAAAACGTTGTTCAACGTATGTTAAGAATTGATTTAGTGGGGGGGGGGTGTTTAGTGTTGATTATAAAGTGAAGAGAAATTTAAAATTTTGCACATATTTTCTGCCAAATCCAAAAGAACAAATCTTTATGGAAAGATGGGCTTTATTTTGGCCAGATTTCGCTCCTGGGGCTTGAACTGCATTCGAGGGATCGCCATTATTTGAGGAAATACAACAATAATCTATATTATCCCACCTCTACCCCTGTACATCTTCAGAGGATGAACCCCCCAGTGACTTGAATCCAGACCAGAGCGTGCTGCCTGCATCTGGAGTGAAATTGTGTTGGGTTTGCGGTTGCCCCGGCAACAAAGCCTGCTCTCGCTGCCACGCCGTCACATACTGCGGGAAGCACCACCAGACACTTCACTGGAAACACACGCACAAGAAGGAGTGCGGTGGATGTCAGAAAATGGTGGACTCTCCATTTGTCTTCCCGGAGTTTGAACTTTTAACTGAGCCAGAGGAAGAGGACGACAATGACAAGGGCGATGAAGGAGATAGCGAGATGACCGTCACTGAGACCAGTGCAGACTCTCTCTCCTTGGCAGAAAGTAAACACTTCCATACTCTGGTGTCACGTTTTGGTGTACAAATGTGCCATAGATGCAGTCACTGTTCAGATTTGTGTTTTACAATCCCAACACAAGGCATATGCATATTTTAAATGATAAAAATCTTATATGGCAGGCCACCAAACTAAAATATCAACAAAAGTGTACTGTATAATTAAATAATGATCTCATCTCTATTCTCAACAACATGACATCTGTGCCTGTTTAGTTCTACAGTTATCCCTTTGAGTGAATGGCAACTGGGTATAGTGTACACAGGTAAACTATCTTCTGCCATCTAGTGGAAGAACATCCAATTGCTCTGCCTGTCACTGCAGATGGATGAACAAAAAACTATTTATCGTGAATGCATTTTTTTTTTTTTTTTTTTTTTTTTTTTGCGAAAATGAAATGGGTGATGATCTCTCATGGCACGGTGGTTGAGAATTGCTGACCTACGGGACTAGAAGTGGTGAAAATTCCACTCTCCACCTTAGCCTATGTCTGTCTCGAGACATTGGATGTTTTTTATACAACTGTAATAGCAAAACAAAGTGACTACATTTTGGACACACCTGTTTCCTCCACACTAACCTCGATCGAGTACCATTTTGCTTCTTGACCCGTGACCACGTTCAGTAGTGGAAATAACACAATTTTTAATATTGCGAGGATTTGCAATGATGTGTTTGTATTTTATTTTAGTGCTAGCAGAGACGGACTTGGAGGAGATGGCAATGCATGAGACTGAGGACAACAAAGTATTCCAGCGCTTTAAAAAGAAGATTGCACCTGAGCCACAGCAGGTTAAAAGCCTCTGCAACGATTGCAGCTGACTTGTTAGGTTATACTGTTTTGTCTTTTTTTTTTGTGCTGTTTGTACAGGTGTTGCGTTACAGTCGGGGTGGCTCTCCTTTGTGGGTTTCTTCGCAGCACATCCCTTCAGATACAGATATCCCAGTATGCACCTGTGGCGCCAAGCGGACTTTTGAATTTCAGGTTGTTTTATTAAATGGTCTTTTTATGTCAAAATTGTTCATTGACCCCCTCATATTCTCACCTTTGGGTTTTGTGTGCACTTATTAAGGTGATGCCCCAGCTGCTGAACAGTCTGCACGTGGACTCCACAGGTGTCAGTATTGACTGGGGGACTCTGGCGATATTCACTTGCTCGGTCAGCTGTAACAACAGCGATCAATACTGCCTTGAGTTTGTTTGGAAGCAGGACTTCAGTACAGAGCAGCAAAGCCAAATTAAACAACCATAATATCTCTATGGCCTTGGTTAATATTCATTTTATAATACTGGCACTTTATTTCCCCACACAACTAGTCCAGTCATACATAGAAATTACAAATTGCATGCAACAAAATAGCTTGTGTGGCAGTCTACTGTCGTCACGAGGTAGATTAGTGCATGCTCAGTTATCGCGCTACAGTACTTATTAATTTGTTGTACATTTATGGTGCATTTATTCCCCCTGATATTTTACTGTTAATTTTGACAAGTCTGTTCATGTCTTCAACTGGTTTAGAGTGCTTCCATCCCCAGCTCCCAAGACTATTTGCATAGCTTACTGAGTTAATAATTGGTAAAAAGAACATAAGACCTTGTGCCTTATCATCCCATATTACTTTACCTGCATTTTCCAGCAATCTCAAACAGAATATGCTCATACACACTATGGTTAAAATGTTGACCTTGACTGAAATTTGCTTGATTAAAGGGAGATACCTACTTACTGAAAGTTTAAAATAAAACCAATTGTAAAAATTGTCATCAGATTTGTTCATTTAGAATGTAAAAAGGAAGCTTTCACAAGGGTCACTATGTACAGATTTATTGTACATGGGCAAATTTCAATACTGCATTCTTTTAGATCAAAGCATTCAACTCATTTTTCAAACACGTTGAGAGCAAATTGGCATTGTTGAAAAAACAAAACAAAATTGCTAACATCTCAGGAGCGGGTGCTCATGTCAAGTGCAGGAACACTATTCAAAGTATAACATTGTATGAGAGCATTTGAGAAGCTGCCTATCAATGTTTCTTTCAATAGACCAAAGAAATTTGTGATTTTAGATGTTACAGTGAGCATACAGGCCAAATGAAAAGGTTCCTGTGCGTCATCACCTTAACCACCAGAAGATCAATCAATGTAACCATTTCTAACTTGTCAAGTTTAAACTACAATATTTTGATACAGAAACCTTGAATTTGAGAGGATTGTTCCAAAATCTCACACACAAACCCAGCATCTGCCGGCGACTATACATCAACTGAAACATAAGCAGAAAAAGAATCCAAAGAAACTACTTCATTGTATAATGGAACAGAAAATGATTTAAAAAAATGTATAAAACTATTTAAAACCGCTTGAAGATGAACAAAAAAGAAACGGTCAGCATTTTTTTCAGACTTATGTACAAGGGTTTGAAAAACCTTTAAAACTAGTGAAAACAAGCGTGAACATGTCATAAAAATAGTCGTGGAAATGATCAGATGAACATATACTTGTAAATAGTTATTCAAAATAAAAAGTCACATACTTGCACAACTATCAAATGTGCAGTTCACATGTCAGAAGACGTTTAAAAAGACTTGGAAAAATAAAAATAAAATGGCTGTGGAAGAAGGTGCCAAGGGTCTACGTCGTCTTGCGGAAACCTTTCAGGATGGGGTAGATGTTCTCAAATGCTTCATAGATTTCACCTCTCACCTTTGCACCTTGACACAAATGTAGAAAAAGTGACTTGATTAAAATGAAACACTTGAATGACGATCAGTGACCGAGTTGAACAGTGAAACACACTCTTTAACCTGTATATTTCTAAATCTCCAGGAGTGCGAGACTGCGTTCAAATTAATGAAATGAAAGATGACTCCAGAGAAGCAGATATTACCTGTTAATACCACCTTCCCGGAAACAAATATGAGCAAGACGATTCTGGGTTTGATCATTCGATAAATCAGCCCTGGAAACAGCTCAGGTTCATAGCTGCAAGAAAATAAAACAATGCAGGTTGGTTTAAAAAAAAAAAGTCTGAAAGTAAATCACCTATGGCATGGTGTCAAACTCAAGGCCCAGGGGCCAGATCTGGTCCACCGCATCATTTTATGTGGCCCCCGAAAGCAAATCAAACATGGCAACTTACATGATGCTTCCTAAAAGGCAAAATTTAAAATTCTCAATAAGTAATAAATAAGAGATATTGTAAGCTTTTTCTTGGAACCAAACCCCTCATTACAGTAACTTAAACAATAGTTGAATAAACCGTTATCATTGATTTTCTTTATTTGGTTTCAATCATAGCGGCCCTCCAAGGGAAACTATCACTAAAATGTGGCTCATGACAAAAATGAGTTTAACACCCTTGACCTATGGCAGTAAAAATAAATAATGAACACTTTCAACTGTTCAGTTTTAATCTCATATAGAGCTTGTCAACACTTTTCTGTCATTTGCCCGTTGGATGGTCAAGTATCAGGACGATTTGCTGGCTCTTTTTGTCAAGTACTATGTTCCAGTGAAACATACCTGCTGAACTGTTGATGCGTGAGGACCAAGCCTTCCAGACGAATGGGGAACTTCACGTCACAGCTGCCCACCATATTCTGAATCTTGAAGTCCAAAAACTTGGCTTGAAAGCCGAGTTTTTGCACCACACGAGCATATTTCCTGGCCGCTAATCGTGACTGCTCCTCGCTAGGAATACAACAGGCTCAATGTGAGATTCAGAGGAAGGAATATGGAAAAGGTGTTTATTGCGCTTGAGCAGATAATCTCTTCTAACCTCTTTGCACCTGTGCAGACCATTTTCCCAGAGCTAAAAATAAGAGCTGTGGTGCGGGGTTCTCGTATTCTCATGATGACTGCGGCAAAACGCTAAAACAGAGGAAGCAATGTAACAACGTTGACCAACGTGGTATTATACAGTACATGTTACTCTGGCCCAAGGATTCCCAACCACTGCGTGTGCTATGCGGGATCAGTTATGTAGCGGGAAATCATCTAATTTCATGCAACTCAAATTAACTACTTAATATATTTGTTTATCCATCTATGCCCGTGGCGTATAATGACGGGCAGAACAAATCAACGCTGTTCTATTAGAGATCTGAAGGTGTGATTAATGTGTATCCACACAACAGAATACAGTAGAACCTCTATGATCTTAATTCGTGAGCCAATTAGTTACTTGAAACGTTCATGAATCGTGGTAATATTTCCTAATGAAATGAATGGAAACGTAATGATCCGTTTTAGCCCCCAAAGTAAGTTATACTTAGCTCGTTTTTTCTGCACAGAGTATGGTTAAAAATAAATACGCAATCAAGAAACAAGTGAAAACACACTATTATAAAGATAAACCACACACGCTCACCCCATTTCAATTTATACATTTTTTGTGACATATATAGTTGGTGGTATCCCATGAGATTTTTCTTTGGTACAGTAAAATATGTGACTTGCCAGGCTCAATAAATGGTGAGAAGTATGCCTCTACAGTAAAGCTGAAATGACATTTACCTTGGGGTTGTACTCTGCATTCCTGGCTCTCAGTGCAATGGTCTTCAGGTCCAATTTACAGCCTAGATTAACTGTCGATACAATGTTTCTGGTGGTGAGGAAAGAGGAAATGGTTGATGAGATTCATGAACGGCCAAAATGGTTGGTCATAGATTTGTGACGTTAATGAAATGTTATTGGCGTTCACAGCCCTGAATGCATTCTCTTAATGTTGAAACATACTGTAGCTGTGGCACAATTCCAGAGCTCTCTGAGGCTGGTGTGGCTGGTGTGATGGGGGTCATGGGGGTCAGTGGAGTGTTGTACAGGGGGGTGTTCCCTGGAAGCGCTGTGGTCGTTGAACCTGTGACTGCCTGGGAATGGAAGAGCTGAGGAGCCTGCCCCGATGTACCTGGAAGGCCTGGAAAACAGCTTCTCCTCTCACAATTATGAACTTCACTAACCGCAAGTAGACAAAGCATCTATATTCCCATGTTTGTTGTCTGCTTAACATACACATCTCCAAAGGGATGCAGAAATGATCATATGTCATGTACCTGCATTAGCCTGTTGTGCTTGTTGCGCCTGTTGCTGCTGCTGCTGCTGCTGCTGCTGCCGCTGCTGTTCCTCCAGTATAGATAAACTGTTTGTGTTTTGAACGGGTTGAGGTGTCAGGCCTGAACCATATGGCATCATGGGACTAAAGATGGGCGTTCCTGGTGTCATGGCACCCTGCAAAAAAACAACAACAACAAAAAAAAAACATTTAGGCTGAACAGCCATATTGACATAAACCTAATCTAATGAGATACAGTAACATAATTTGATGAAACATTCATACAAAATTCCATTTAGGGCATCCTAACGGATTGTGTGAGAATTTCCCCCAAAGCTGATCAAGAAAATGTAGTCACACACGTGCCAGTAAAAATGACAGCACACGCCATTTAAAATATGTATTGTGATTCGCTTACACATACTGTACATGCGATATAGATAGGGGAGTAGAAATGAACTGGAAATTATGTTACCTGGGGGGAGGCCAGCCCCTGAAATGCTGGTATGCTGTTGTTCTGATCCATCTTCTTAACTTATCACCTCAGGGAACAGAAACGCACACACCGACACGGTCGCTTGTGTGGCAACTGCTCAACAGTTGCGTGTCCAGTAGTTTGACAAACAGGAGAAACACTTTTCTGAAGTCGGCCAAGAGAAAGTCCTCTTTGCCCTTCTTTCTTGACAGTTGGACCCTGCGTGAAAATGTTTGATAGGAACCAATTACAACCAGAGGCGGGAAGTAACAAAGACCAAATACTTAGTTTATCTGCTTAAGTAGAATTTTCAATGTACTTTCGTATTTATTTTTCTGATGACTTGTTACTTTTACTCCCTACTTTTGAAAATTGTAAATGTACTTTCTAGTCAGGTGGCGGTAGCTACCCGCCGAGCTACTGTTAGCAACAAGAGCTAACGCCACATGAAACGTGCTACATCCTCAACACACCGAAAACGAACAAATGCCTTCAAATGAGGCTGCCAACTTACGCGGGGTCGACACAAAACCGTATTTTCTTTAGCTTGCAATTGGTGTCATCTTCTATGTAAGTGGCACAAATTCATCCGGCAACTACAGTCAATCTGCTACTTCCGGAAGATGAATGTTTTATCTTCCGGTGTCATAGGTTACGAAGGACAGAATCAAGATGGCGTCTCTGAGTGACAAATCAGTTTGGGACGAAGTGGAAGATGGAATCGGCGAAGAGGTGTTAAAAATGTCTACGGAGGAGATAGTTCAGCGAACTCGACTCCTCGACAGCGAGATCAAGATAATGAAGAGCGAAGTTCTGAGGGTGACCCACGAATTGCAAGCTATGAAAGATAAAATTAAAGAAAACACGGAGAAGATAAAGGTGAACAAAACCCTGCCATATCTCGTGTCGAACGTGATCGAGCTGCTGGATGTGGACCCCAACGACCAAGAAGAAGACGGGGCGAACGTGGATCTCGACTCGCAGAGAAAAGGAAAATGCGCTGTCATCAAGACGTCCACCCGGCAAACTTACTTCCTGCCGGTGATCGGGCTGGTGGACGCCGAGAAGCTGAAGCCCGGGGACCTGGTGGGTGTCAACAAAGACTCCTACTTGATCCTGGAGACCTTACCCACTGAGTATGACTCCCGAGTCAAAGCTATGGAGGTTGACGAGCGCCCCACCGAGCAGTACAGCGACATCGGAGGGCTGGACAAGCAGATCCAGGAGCTGGTTGAGGCAATCGTCCTGCCCATGAACCACAAGGAAAAGTTTGAAAACCTGGGCATCCAGCCTCCTAAAGGAGTCCTAATGTATGGACCACCAGGGACGGGGAAGACCCTCCTAGCTAGGGCCTGTGCGGCTCAGACAAAAGCAACCTTCCTGAAGTTGGCTGGTCCACAGCTGGTGCAGATGTTCATCGGAGATGGAGCCAAGTTGGTGAGAGATGCCTTTGCCCTGGCCAAGGAGAAGGCCCCATCTATCATCTTCATTGACGAGCTGGATGCCATTGGTACTAAGAGATTTGACAGCGAGAAGGCGGGAGACAGGGAGGTGCAGAGGACCATGTTGGAGCTTCTCAATCAGCTGGATGGATTTCAACCCAACATGCAAGTCAAGGTAATGTTTCTCAGAACAGTTAACCACACTGCAAGCCTTTAAATTAGGATTTACTAACTTTTCCGAAGCTGAGAGCTTCTGTACTTCTTGGGGAGTGATTAAGGTGAAAATCGACAAGTTTGATTGCTCCGAAATATATATTTTTTCAAATTCACCTTTTATGATTAAACTTAATGATATACATTTGTGTGAAGGCACTTAACATTTCAATAATTTCTCACAATAATTATCACCTGATTGCTCGAAAGCAAACGAAAAATGTCAGCAAAAGCTTACTAGAACATCTGAAAATTATTTTGGGTTACCGTAATCAGATGCACTTTACCGGAAATGATGTTAGGGATGTGCTGACTTCCACTGAACATGATTTTGAATGTAATTAGTGAACTGGGATGTAGATCCCAGTTGTTAGAGCGTGTGCAGACCTCTGCAAATACATTATCTCAAATGTCTATTTTTACTTCCCCTCTCAAAAATGGATAAAAGGAAATTATTTATTTTGGTATACATTTTTTTTTTATAGTGATTAAGGTGAAAATCGACAAGTTTGATTGCTCCGAAATATATATTTTTTCAAATTCACCTTTTATGATTAAACTTAATGATATACATTTGTGTGAAGGCACTTAACATTTCAATAATTTCTCACAATAATTATCACCTGATTGCTCGAAAGCAAACGAAAAATGTCAGCAAAAGCTTACTAGAACATCTGAAAATTATTTTGGGTTACCGTAATCAGATGCACTTTACCGGAAATGATGTTAGGGATGTGCTGACTTCCACTGAACATGATTTTGAATGTAATTAGTGAACTGGGATGTAGATCCCAGTTGTTAGAGCGTGTGCAGACCTCTGCAAATACATTATCTCAAATGTCTATTTTTACTTCCCCTCTCAAAAATGGATAAAAGGAAATTATTTATTTTGGTATACATTTTTTTTTTATGTTAAAAAAAGTGTCATTTGAACAAGGATGTGTAGACATTTTATATCCACTGTATTTGGAGCGAAGATTCTCCGTATACGTCCTGGGATGTACTACTTTGCTATCTAGAAAGTCAGTAATCATCTTGTCCACACGTGCAGGTGATTGCAGCAACCAACAGAGTGGACATCTTGGACCCGGCGCTGCTGCGTTCAGGTCGTCTGGACAGGAAGATCGAGTTCCCCATGCCAAATGAGGAGGCCAGAGCCCGAATCATGCAGATTCACTCCCGCAAGATGAATGTGAGTCCCGACGTTAACTATGAAGAGCTGGCTCGCTGCACCGACGACTTCAATGGAGCCCAGTGCAAAGCTGTGTGCGTGGAGGCGGGTATGATCGCATTGCGCCGTGGAGCCACAGAGCTGAACCACGAGGATTACATGGAGGGAATCCTGGAGGTGCAAGCCAAGAAGAAGGCCAACTTGCAGTACTACGCTTAAGGACACTGTGGGTTCATGCTTGTGGAGGAGTCTTTAATTTGTGAAAAACGTTGTGGCATTCTCTACACTTGTTACAGCAGATTTACACTGAGCTAATAAAAAGACATGAAAACAAATCATTTTGTTTCTTTTATATTCTACTATTAATCTGAAGCAAATACTGTATTCACATATAAACTGGACACTAGTCTCAATTCACCTAACATGCATGTTTTTTGAATGTGGGAGAAACTTGAGAAAACCCATGTTAGCACAGTGAGAACAGAAAACTCACAGGATGGCAGAAAGCTGGATTCAACCCCCCAAACTCGGAACTGTGAATGTGGCTGTGATAACCAGTGCCCACTACACTGCACAAAAAATTTGAAGTTAGTACTGATATTCTGAACCTAAAAGCATTAGGTGCCTATGTCTTTTTTCCCTCCATTATCAATAAAAAAATACCAGTGCATGTCCCAAAATTTGTCTTTTTCTTGGTCCGTGGAGACTCACATTCACCATGGTCATGGATCATGGTAATCAAAATTTGTGGATTAACATGGTAATCCACAAATCGAGGACAGTGGACTCCTAAAACATCATGGTATTATGCAATTAAACTGATGTAATGTCATCGTCAACAGTTGTTAGGTACATTACCCTTGTTTGAGATACTACAAACAGTAGTGAATCTACCACAACCAAAACAATCCATATGAAAGTACTGTATTAGCGAAAACAAACTACTCGTTCCCCAAGTAGCTCATTGCCAGATCACGCAAAGCTTTTCTTCGAGAGGAACGCATTTTTGAACAAGCGTTTGTGTAGTTATCTACCGGGTAACGCTATTTTATTTTATTTTATTTAAAAACAACAATTCGAAGTCCTCCAGCACAACTCTATCCGACCTCGACGGATTGCCATTTGTCAAACAAACGCGCACATTGGAGGTTAAAGTCGCCAAACTGACCCGGAAGTACATAAACGCTCATTAAAAATGCATAACCAAAAATGCGGGTGATGGCAAAGTTTTTTTTCCTTGCTTTTTTGTGTAAGTTCAATTAAAAAAAAAAAGACAACGTCTCAAAAACCGCATGTCCAAGGAAAAAAAATGAACCAGCGTCAAAAATACATTTCGTGACACGTAAAGGAAGCCCTCTCTGATAAAAAATATGTGTTGACCTGTTTTATCATTTAAAAAAAAAATTCCATTGGTAAAGTATCAGTCATCCCCCCTAACCCGAATATTCCCCCACCACACCTTTCATGGCGATTAATTATAAGGGCTCACATTTTTGGTGTGATACCGTACTGTCAGCCTACATTTTTCATAAGTATTTTATACAGTGTAGATTTCACGATAAATATCTCATATTCTATATGTAGATATTGTGTATGCAAGTATATACATCAGTCACTTATATAATTATAAATACATAATTTGCAGTATGGGTCCCCGTTAGCTTATCTATCGCGTGTATTTCTATGCTCAACTCTCGTCTTCATGTGCCCGTGCACCATGTATGTTCTTTTCCATCCGCGTGGCCGAGACATTGCCTGTGTGTCCACAAAGTCGGATTCCATCCAGGGAGAGAAATGCCGTCTAAAAGCGTCGTTGAAGTGATCAAAACCATGGAAGAAGAGATTGACACTGCCGCGGACCTTAAGGCGCCAAAAGTGAGTAGAATGTGCCTTGGACTGCCTTTTAAATCCAAATAGCTCGTGAAGTGCATCGTGTTCACGACTACTTCCATGCTAGACGACATGTGGCGCGGCACGCTACGTCAAAATGTGGATTAGCGGCTTGTGAAAATGTGACACGTTTGTCAGAATTAGCTTTTTACAAGCTAGCCACTTGGGTTAATGTTATGAACATTGAGATTAAGAACAATTTAAAGTCGGAAACAGCTGTATTGAGGTTGTACATTAGCAATCTAGCCTAGCAAGGTTCTCACGTTGACAAGCCGCGTGAGCCGGTTCGGATCTTTAAACAATGTGGACACCGGAAGTTGAGTACGGAATACTTCAAACAACGTGACACGTGCACGTGAAGATCTACGTTTTTGTCCCCACGTTGTTAGCTATTAAGCTTCCGGAAACAAACAAGTATGACATCAAGTATTTGTATTTAGTGGTTATTATATGTTCGCATTTGGTACATTCTAGCTATGACGGTATGTCGCAACATGTGCTCTAAACGTAATCGAGGGTGCACACAATAGATTTGTTTGGACTCTAATTTACTTCTCACATAAAACATTTTTTTTCCTGTAAAAACAATACCGATTTGCATTACAAACCCAATTTGTATTGGCAGCCTCGCAAAGCGTTTTTTAACTGTAACAGGGTTTTTCCAGGCTCAAATCGAGGCAGAGGAGGTACCATCGTGACAATGCGCGATGACGTGCACGTATTCTATAAATTCAACGGACTCTCTTTTACAGGACATACTTTAGGTCAAGAGCTCAAATAAGACCATGACTGTTATCATGTTAAAGCATTCGTTAAATAAAAATTGCATAGAACAATGATGGATTTACAGCTTGTGTGGTGGGGCCACTTTTGTTTGAGAAAAACAGATGACAGTACTGTATTTTGAAGCACCTGTGGTCCATGTTCACCTGTGCTGCAATAGCACGCTGCGGTGTCCTCCATAAAAATACAATCTTAAACTATCTTTTCAAACTAAAATATTTTAGTTTTTCTAACTCTATTGGTTGCATACCAACTTTAATATACTTCTCCTTCTCTTCTGCTCCTTTGTGAATGGCTGTCACCTCATGTCATTTTAATGTGTCCAGCCTGTAATTAGTTGAGGGAGGCAGCGAGTGACTGCTGTGTTGGGCCACAGCGCTTGTGGCAAAAATAAGTGTTGTGTTTTTCCTATTATGTCTGAGCCAGGTAAATAGATTTATCCACTGCTTGTCAAAGCCATTGGCTTGTGTGTTTTTAAGACCATATGGAAAGAGGAATTAAAAAATGTTTCAATCACAAACACGTTAACTCTGTGTTTTGACTTTGAAGTCTGATCTTAAAAGCCTCCATGTTGAACCAAAAGAAAAACAAGAACAATGTTGTTTTGCCTTACGTCGTGAACAAATCATTTTTTTTTTTTCTGGAACAAAAATGTCATGTTTTGTCTTCGCAGTGTAGCGTATTATGATATGAACAATTTCTTTTGGCTTTTAAGTCCAACCTTAAGTGTAGTAAAAGTCTAGTAAAATGTCTACATTTCACAAATGACTTTTCATACTATTTTTACTCCTTGTAATAGAATAAGCTACATTTTATTTTTGTCCTGTCATTGTTTTTAAAGAACTTTATTTTAATGTGTAAGTGCTTTTAAATGTACGGTACTTTTCAATTATGTGATTATATTATACTTTACTAGAGTTTTATATTATATTGTGCAGATACCCGTGGTGCTTCAGTGTATTTTATATAAATGGCCAGACTGCTTTTTCATGTAAATGTGGACTAAAAATCTCAAAGCAATTCAATTTTCTTTCCTGAACATGAAGATGAAATCAAAGGATGGCAAGAAACTGAAGAAGAAGCTGATGCAGGAGGAAGAAGAGGAGCCGGACTGTGAAAGTCCTGTACCGAAAAAGAAAAAGAAAAAAGACAAGCTGGCAGAGGACCAAGTTAATGGCCACAAAAATGAAGCCATTGACCTGAATGGCAACACTGACACTTCTGAGCCACCAAAGAAAAAGAAGAAAAAGAACACAGAGGCAGTCGAGGTTAGTACTAGTCGTTTTACCAAGTGGTGCAAAAAATGAACTACACTATAATCATATCGTTAATTTATTTATTTATTTTTTTTGTACCGGTAATTAAAAAGCAGTTATTCTACATTTCTTGGGTTTAGATGAAAAAGAAGCAAACTAAAGCAATCGTTAAAGCTGAAATCAATGGACATTCCATGCCTGACACACCAGCTCCAACTCCAAACCAGACACCATCTCAGTCAGACGACTCAACCAGTGAGAGTGAAAAAGAAACTGTAAGATTGCTATTATATGTACATAAAAAACATTAAATAAGAAGTTAGGAATGTGTGATACTGTTACGGTAGTGACACTTTTTTTCCCCTAAATACTGTTATGTAATTAAAGGTAATTTAGCATTGACCTTTATGTAGGGATTTTTTTTCCTCCCAAGTTTTGAAAGCCCTCATATTTCATTTGTTTTCCAATTTTTAGGAGGAAACGCCTGAGCAGAAAGAAGGAGCCTTCTCCAACTTCAGAATTTCCCAAGGCACCATTCAAAAACTAAAAGGTAGCAATCACGTTTCCGTTCACACACACTCCACACCAAACTGTTGTCAAAAACTAATTTGAGTTGTTTTTTGGTTGCTGAACTACAATTTAGCTCTTGAATGAATAAATCAAAAGTCCAGCAAACCTTGACAGAACAGTCCAATATCTTTGTTCGTGACAAAATAAATGTCACCACTAGGTGCCGGCACTCTGTTAATGTGGTACTTGTAATGAAAACACAAAATGGTGTTCTGATTCAGTTCTTCATTGTGCTACAGTTTAAATGTTTTTTTTTTTAACTTTTTACTTGGAACTAACACTCTGTCACTTTTCTCGCGCTTTCAGCTCGAGGAGTCTCCTACCTGTTTGACATTCAGGTCCAGACCTTTGATCACGTATATGATGGGCATGACGTACTTGCTCAAGCCCGCACGGGAACAGGAAAGACCTTCTCCTTTGCCATCCCACTGGTGGAGAAGCTCCAGTTGGCTGGATCCGAGCGGCCAAGAGGCCGCCCTCCCCAGGTTCGCACACTCATTAAACCCATTAATCTAGCTGATGCCATATCCTCACTACTGACAGATCAGAACAGACAGGGTTTTTTTTTTTTTTTTGGTCTCCCCCACCCCCTCACCTCATATCTGTCTGCAGGTGTTGGTGTTGGCTCCCACCAGAGAGTTGGCTATCCAGGTCTCGAAGGACTTTAAAGATATTGCCAAGAAAGTGAGCATCTCCTGTTTCTATGGAGGCAGCTCGTACAGCCCACAGAGTAAGTCTTCTGTAAACAAGCATTTATTTATTATGAAGAACGCTTTTCAAAAATTGGGATGTAAGTGGTACCTTAACTTGCAAGTGTTCCCGAATGTCCTTTGCGCCAGTGCTAGCGTCCTCATTTAAATACATCAAACACCAAATTTTACATTTACATAAATTGCCAAAGGTTGATTCATGTATTTACGTTGACAACAGGGAAAATTGTTGAAATGCTGTTTTGTGGCCCTTGCCACACTTTTCTACAAAGTTGGAGTGTCAAGTGTTTATGTACACCTTCTTGTGGAGGGAACGAAACTTTATATTTGGTTGTCATCCTGATAACAATTGTGATCATGTATTTTTTTTAACCAGTTGACGCCGTCCGTAACGGAATTGATATTTTGGTCGGAACCCCTGGTCGTATCAGAGACTTCATCCAGAATCACAAACTAGACCTCACAAAACTGAAGCATGTCGTTCTGGATGAAGTGGACCAAATGTTGGACATGGGATTTGCTGAGCAAGTGGAAGAAATTCTAGCCGCCTCCTATCAGAAAGGTATTTATTTGTATAGTTGATTTTGATGTACAGTTCAGAAATGAAAGTCGAGGAAAGCTACATAAAAAAAAAAAATCACACACACACACACACATGAAAGCTTATCATAAGCATTCAGAAAATTCTTCTCTATCAAATTGGGGGGTGTTGGGAGGGGGGGATGCTTTTCGCTCATTGGCACTGTGAATGTTTGCAGCATTTATGGACAACAGTGGAACAAATTTCAGCTACCTCATGAATTAGTAATTATTGCATGGACAACACTGTCATGTAAATGGCTTTTTATAAATACAATAAGAACAATCCATTTTTTTAACGTGGATCTATCTGCAACTTTTTTGTATTTTTAAATTGGGATGATCAGTGCCGTAGCATAGCCTTAAAGGCAGATTTAAAGTAACATTTAAAATTTGAAGTGTAAAAAAAGAAGTTGATGACTGAAAACTGAAGTGCAATAACAGAACATTGCCTTTTCTGTAACATCAAGTATTCACATTTTATTTGCAATTACTCATAGTTTGTGGTGTCACAGCTTTGTCTTGATTTGACAACAGTGCCTACTTGTGTTTGCATTTCACACAAGATGGCGACGCCAACCCCCAGACTCTCCTGTTTTCGGCCACCTGCCCTCCATGGGTCTACGATGTGGCCAAGAAATACATGAAGCCCGATTGCAAGCGTGTTGACCTGATTGGAAAGAAAACGCAGAGAACCGCAACAACTGTGGAAGTAAGTATGGGTGTGTCTCCAAATGGTTAAAGGGAGAGGTTAACAAGTGTTAGGGTGAAGGTGGTCCAAAGAACAACAACATGACGTCTGCAATAGAAGATACATCCAAGCAGGCACGGCTATGGCTACTCATTTGCTCATGGAAATGAGTCTAGACAGAAATTTTCGTTCATTCTTATGTAACAATTTATTGACTGTTAGTTTTCCCCAATGTGGATCAGGGAAATGTAGTCTTATAGATCATGATAATTATCGTAGCGTGAGGTTCATATCGTGATAATATTGCATCGTATCATGAAGTTTAGATGTTAAATCCCTAGTCATATGCCCATCTCTCTTCAGAGCAGCAGCAACAACCTCACCAATCACTTAACATACACATGTTCTACCCCATGCAGCATCTGGCCATCGCATGCCACTGGTCACAGCGCGCGGCGGTTTTAGGAGACGTGATCCAGGTGTACAGCGGCAGCCATGGCCGAACCATCGTCTTCTGTGAGACCAAGAAAGAAGCGAATGAACTCTCCTTGAATACATCCATCAAACAGGTAAACCATGTGCAGTTAATGGGCGCCTACTATCTTACTATTACAATGATTTTACTTTTGAACTGGTGGTGGGAGAGGAGAGACAGTCACTTTGCAGCTGTTTTTTAATGAAAAAAATGTTTTTTTTTGAATGCCGGTAGAGCAATAAAACAGACACACACACACACAGGAGCTCATCCACACTTGCACAGATATGCCGAGGTCACACATCGCCCTACGAAGCGCTGCCTCCGAAAGGCACACACATGTACAGCCACTACTATATATGTGCAGTATATTCGATACATTTTATCCATTTAATATTCTTCTTGTGTTCAAATACGCTTGCCAACTGTTTTTAATACATTTGTATTTTGATTCTTCCTAAATGTTCAAAGTGAGCAGGAGGGGAGAAGGTTACATTTGGTCTGTATTTATTGCAGTTTTTCACATACTGCGGATGGGTTGAAAATGTATTCCCTGTGGTAAAAAGTTTCACGGGATTATGTATCATTTAAGAGCAGTACAACTCTAGTTTAATTGAGTGAAATTATATGTAAAAATGGTTAGAAGATGAAGTGTATGAATCTTTTCCACGTAAGGCATGTCCCAGCATAAAAGCACTTTGTTATGCCACGCTTATCCGAATTGTTTCTGTTGTTGATTTGACATTTTTTTTCATCAACCAGTTGCAGTGTTTAGTTTGTTCCAGACGTATCACATTTACATTGCGGTGTGTGAATAACATCTCTCCAGAGTACCCAGTCCCTTCATGGTGACATTCCCCAAAAACAAAGGGAAATGACCTTGAAAGGCTTCAGGAGCGGATCCTTTGAGGTTTTGGTGGCGACCAATGTGGCAGCCCGCGGGTTAGATATCCCCGAAGTTGACCTCGTGATTCAGTGTTCTCCACCCAAGGTGTGACACCCTGCTCAGCTGAATTTTCTTGTCACGTTTAAATTAAAGAGCTACTGTCCCATCTACATTTACATGAAACTGTTGACATCAACCTCTTATCTTCAATTGTTAGGATGTGGAATCGTACATCCATCGGTCAGGGAGAACTGGCAGAGCTGGAAGGACCGGAATTTGCATCTGCTTTTATCAGAAGAGAGAGGAGGACCAGCTACGTTACGTGGAAAACAAAGCGGTACCTGTTGTCTATTAAATCAAAAGTATCTGTAGAACTTCCAAAGAATTTGTGCCGCATGGGAATCTCAAATAAAAGCATTGCTGAATTGTAGCAAGACAAGCTGAGATATTAATTTTAACGCCAAAAGTTGAATGTATTTGGTTTTGCTGCAGGGCATTTCATTCAGACGAGTCGGTGTTCCCACTGCCAATGACATCATCAAGTCATCGAGCAAGGATGCAACACGGTGCGTTCGGGACACAAAATGAGTATGCCTCTCCAATTAAGGAGGCATATGTTTTACCTTTGCATACTTAAAACCAGTTACTCTGTGCTGTGGGAATACAACACTGCCTCACGTGCAATTGCCTGATTTGAATGGAGTTTTATGTTTTTCCATCCAGGTTCCTGGACTCTGTTCCAGCGGCAGCCGTTGACTACTTCAGAGAGTCTGCCGAGAAGCTGATAGAGGAGAAAGGAGCAGTGGGTGCGCTGGCTGCTGCCTTGGCGCACATTTCTGGAGCGACGAGTCTGGAGCAGCGGTCACTGCAAAACTCCGACGCTGTAAGTTTAACTGGACAAACTGCATGTGAATCTGCTCATCTTGTGCTGCAGGCCGTGAATGCTCACACAGTATTTTGTTTAGGCATGGTAAAAAGGATTGTAGCTTAAAAAATATGGAAGCATGCATGGACACGAACGTATGTTTTTCAAAATGCATGAGGAGCAAAACTGGGCGCAGGGCGCCCCCCC